AGCTTGCGGGGGGGGGGGGTTTCGGGAAGTTTTGTCTACTATAAGCCTGTATGAGATTCGAACTCATATACTAGTGTCCGTAGCACTATGCTCTACCAATTAAGACTAACAGACCTTTTTGCTTTGTATTAAGTGGCCCAAGCACTTAATTATGACTAAGATCCTACGTAAACAAATATCATAATAATTTAGCCTCGCTGAGGCTCCTTCGGTTACGAAAGAGTTAATTCCGTTCCACTCTACGAGTGGAGTTAATTCCATAAGTCATCCTCTTCATATTAGAAACTTTTTATCTAATTAAGACGATTCATATCAAAAGATAAGTCCTCTCTCTATATATTCCCCACCTTTCTTTTTCCCTAAGTAGTATTCGTGGGGTCCCTCGATGTATGTTTAAAGTTTTTCGGGGGAGAGTATAAAAACTCAATATAAAAATCAACCACACCCTTAATCCCCTTGGGCCCATTTTACACCTTTGGCCTCAAAGTATCTAAAATACTTTTATCATATTTATTTATTTTTTTTTACGATAAAAGTATAAAAATGTATAATTTTACCTTTTTTAACGGGGGGCTAGCCCCCCCCCCTTGAAGGGTACCCCCCCCCGATATGATAAAAGTATATAAAATACTTTATCATATTTATTTAGAACTACAAATATCTTTAACCCAAATAAAGCACCCCTCTCCTCCTGCAGTACTGCAGGGCGGGGTGCTTTCCAGTTAATAGAAAATTAAGGAAACCTTTCACCCCGCCCTGCAGTACTGCAGGGGGGGGGGGAGAAAATATTTAAATACCACCTTTCCCCTGCAGTACTGCAGGGCTAGTAATGGATGACTACCATAAACTGAACCTAGAACTTAAATCTTTATTCGATGAAATCGATCTATTAAAAAGATTTAAGTTCGTAGGTTTATACACATGCTCCGCTGCCGGGCCCTCCCCTTCACAACCCTGCAGTACTGCAGGGGGATTAGAGTTATACCCTTACTAGATATACATAAACTTATTAATTACCTAATCGGGGCTAGCCCCCGGTTCAGTCTTGGTAACTCTTTATAAAGGTTTTTGGATTTAAGCAAGGTTCCTTCCGCTAGGCTACGCCAGACTTCAGGAACTTGCTTGTTATTTTAACCCTTCCCCCGCCCATTTTAAACATACAACTATAGAAATACTTCTTACAATTCCCCCCCCTCCTTTGCTTAATTGCAAAGGAGGGGGTTGCGATAGATGTCTCCTTCATATTTTTATTAATTGTTGCTTAAAATTACCCAACTATGTCAGTAAACTATGCTGATATAAGAAGATAATAACGAAATGCATGCATTTTCCATTATTATTTCTTATATCAGTAGGCTGTTAAACCTAATTTACAACATGTCTATGATTTGACGTACAATCAAATCCCCTTATTTGTCCCTCCCGATTGTTTGTTAATTAATTTTATATCTAAAAAATGTCAACTTTTGTTGTCATTTTTATGTATCAAAGAAAATGTCAACTTTTTCATATTTTTATGTATCACAGGATAAAGTTTTTATCTCGCTACCCCCTCCAGCTTCGCTGGAGGGGGGGGAAGTTCATGATTTTATTTAGCTATTTATTTATTGTTCATCATTTTATTTACTTTTTTAGCTACCAAAATGTTTTTAGCACTTCTACATACTTCTACATATTATCCCCACTATGAATAATTACATCCAACTTATTATTATTATTATTATTATTATTTTTTATAAGCCCCCGCCACTGCAGTACTGCAGGGCGGTGTAATAAGTTGGTGATTTCATTAATAAACCCGCCACTGCAGCACTGCAGGGCGGGGTAATATGTTGATGATTTAACTATACTTTTCTACATTTATATTATACTGATCTAGATAGGTAACACAGTTAAATTGTTTAATTTGAGAATAAGATTAAAGTCATCCAACACTTTATTTAATGGTCTTGTAAGCATTATTTTGTTTTTTGGTTGCTACAACACAGTAACAATTTTATACAAAACAGTAACAATTTTATAAACAAATTGTAGCCTAAGCTTCGGCTAAGCGAAGGCTTAGGGCTCGGCTTGCGCTAAGGAAGAAGAAAATTCTTTTATTACAGCAGGGGCTAGCTAAACGAAGTTGTGCTCGCCTCAAATTTTTATCTATTACATCACTTATAAATGGATGGGGCCGCCCCCCCCCCTTATCCCCGTCCCCCCGCCCTGCAGTACTGCAGGGGGGTAAGGGGATTAAAGGGGGGGGTCCCCCGAATATTGTTTATAATATAACCCACCACCTCCCGGATGTTCCACTCTACGAGTGGAGTTAATTCCGTTCCACTCTACGAGTGGAGTTAATTCCATAAGTCATCCTCTTCATATTAGAAACTTTTTATCGCTACCCCTCCAGCTTCGCTCCCCCCCCGCAAACCTGCGGGGAGGGGGGGGGAGAGATAACCACTAGATGGCTTCATACTCAAATACATAGGGCCCACGAATAAGTATTCGTGGGGTCCCCCGAGTTCCTTTATTTAGCCAAAAACTATTTTATCGTCTTACTGTTCTTCTAATCAAGTAAGGAATTTTTCTAGAGATACTGACTCCACCCCTCTGGGGTGGAACTGTGTAATATACCACAGATTTCAGAGCATTGACCATAGAATACTCCTTCTCCACCCCTCTGGGGTGGATACTTGATTTAATCTCCCAGGATAAGCATCACATTTAACACCTAAAGATGGAACAGCGAAGCTATGGATCACATCACCTGCAGTGATGATAAATCTAACAAATTCGTGTCTTACCTTAATTGTTTAGTTTTTTATATTAATTAATTAACCCTCCACCTCCCGGATACTATGATAAATTTATCATAGTATCCTCTACTAATATAATAATATAAACTTGTCTCTTCATATCGAAGCTAGGAGCCGAAGGCCCTAATCCATTATGAAGGAGTAAATAACCTATTAGCTTAGAAACCAACCTGTAGACAGACTAATCTTTTTTTTTAGAAAAGATATAACCTAAGTAAGGCTTTTCTGTATCCAAATATCTAGATAAAGTCTTAGTTCAGACTTTTTTCCCAACTTTACTTTCTAGGTATTCAGCTGTAGCCTTGATGGGCCCCCACAACTATGTTGTGGGGTCCCCCGAAGGGAAATTAAGGACAATTCCAGAGCTAACTTCTTGTATTATAAGGGGTTGGCTCGAATCATTTTTATTTCCCCCTATTAATAAATTATTTTTAAAGTACTCCTTCTTTTTTTGAAGTAACATGTCAGCTAATTCTTCTGCAGTTAGATAAGAGGGTTTAGCACCCTCTATTGCAGTTTTGGTTAGCCTAAAGGAATTAAGGTAGAAGGCTCCATCCTTATCTAGATATTTGCTCAAAGTAAGATGTGAGATTCCTATATCTTCACACATTTGTCTTACAGAAAAGCTATAATAGTATAAGATTTGACCTTCCCGGTCATAAAGATAGATATTTACACCTTGGTTTACTCGAAAATTTACAACTCTTCGAGTGTTAAGGTTAAAACTATCATGTAAAAGGTAATACTGTTCCAAAAATAAAAAGTAGTAATCTGAAGAGAATTTAGGAGGCATCACAAAGATTTCTAAACTAAATCCCTTAAAACCTTCTTTTTCTATTAAAGGTAACAATAACCCAGAACTCTTTAACTGGGATTTTTGGTAATTAAAGTATTGATCTAGTCTTCTGGAAAGACTATTACTAGATCCAACCTATTTATTACCAGTAGCTAAATGCGTGAATATATAGACACCCGGACGTCTACGTGTAGACGTATTAGGCTTACCTACTAGGCCAAGGTAAGCAGGAAATGTTTGATCATTTAATGGTAAATCAAATTTAATCCCGGGAACTGTTTTTAATTGATCAAGTTCCATTTGTGTAATAGAAACTTTCTGATTAGCCAACAAGCTATTGAGGACTTCACTAGTTATATCCTTATAACTATTAAAAAGACCCGAAGAATGATAGCATCTAGCCCTATGGCCATGAAAGCCATTTAACGATACTTTAGTCCTTCCCCCCTCCTCGGGGGCCCCCACAACTATGTTGTGGGGTCTTTCGAGGAGGGGGTAGCGAAAGACTAAAGTTGCTATAAGGAAGTCTAGATAAAGATTTATTAATCTGCTTATTAACTCTCTGACTTATTGATTTTCTAATCATGTAAGGAATTTCTCTAATGAAACAGACTCTATAACTATAGGCATACTTGAGTGCAAGATTCCACATATCTCACTACATTGTCCGTAGAATACACCCTCTCTATTTATAAAGACAGATACTTGGTTTAAACGACCAGGGTAAGCATCACATTTAACACCCAATGACGGAACAGCAAAACTGTGTATAACATCACCAGCTGTGATAATGAAACGGACATGCGTTAGTTCAGGAAGGATAACTCTATTATCCACCTCTAACATTCTTAGTGCTCCTTCTTCCAAATCGGATTCCGGTACTATATATGAATCAAATTCTATAAATTCATCATTTGAATCTAAGAAATCAGGATATTGGTAACTTCAATATCATTGGTGCCCCTCTGCTAAAACTGACATTGAAGGATCACTAACTTCATCCATTAAATATAGCAACTTAAATGAAGGGAAAGCAATTAATATTAATATTACTGCTGGAGTAATAGTTCATATTAATTCGATTAATGTCGACAACATAAGTACTTTCATACTTAACTGGACTATATCATACCTTATATACGTATATTTATATAAGGTTTCCACGTGTAGTCTCTGAGGATCCTACTAAGGTAGTAAATACCCCTGTTGGTTCCTGCTGATAATCCATTGTACATCCTTTAGGGTTATCACTGATAAAGCATATATTTATTATCTTTATAGTACCTAAAGGCTTTAGGAGTTTCCAGCATATAGTGGAATTTAATTCAGAGTTTTTTAAGTTTATTTTGGATTTCCTCACCCCCCTGCAGTACTGCAGGGCGGGGGAGGTGAATTTATATCTATCCTTAAATATTTCACCAGAATTTATATACAGTCTTACAGTATTACTACTAATCCCTAAAAATTTCCCAGCTCTTCTTATTGAAACAAAACTACCTATTAATTGAAATCCTTCTGAATCACATTTTTCATGTATGTTAACAAGATAACCTATACTAGTCATCTTTAATAGAGTTTCTTCAGAATGTTTTCTACCTAAAGCTTTTTGTCTCATTAACTCTTTAGTTTCTTCACCCCCCCCTGCAGTACTGCAGGGAGGGGGAGGTATGAGTTTTACCCGATAATGGATTATTTGCCCCAAACTTCTTTCCCCCCCCTCCTTTGCTTAACTGCAAAGGAGGGGGGGGGGTCGCGAGCCATGAGTGCTTTAGTTTCTTCAGAATGAGTACGACCATATAAAGCGGGCCACCCCCCCTGCATTAATGCAGGGGGGGTGGGGAGTCTTGATTTTTCATTAACATAGATTCCTTTTAAAGATTTACTAATTTTAGCTGTTTAGTTTCTTCTGTAAGTTTATGTCCTAAAGAACTACCTGCGAGCCGCAAGGCGTCTATTGTACTTAGGATTTAACTTGTCAAGATAGTATTGTTCTCTTTCTGTTAAATCAGCTATATCACAATATTCGTCCTTACGGACCAGCTGGAAAGCGAGCCGCAAGGCGTCTATTTAATCAAAGCTCTACTTATTATAGGGCCCACGAATAAGTATTCGAAGTCAGATTAAAGTATCTTATAAATCTTTTGGCTAAATCTACTTATTGTTCAATATATATCATTAGTTAATTTATTTGTTCATTTATAGATACCAGATTTATTTTTTTTTTATCTTTTATAATTGATTTTCTCATTGAATAAGCATCTTCATACAACTTGAGCCGCCAGGCGTCTTATCATCTGAAGAAGATGTTGTACTGTAAGAACGTATATATTTATGGTTATTATTTACCAACCCTTTAAACTTAAAACACTTTTGAATCGGCACATCTCTACCGTGATTTAAATATTTATGTGAAATTGGTGATTTTGTACTGATATAATTTCTTATTATAGATAATAAGATTCATCCTACAGCAAATAGTATTACCACCAGATAGTACATAATATTGTCATGTAATTCAACTAAACCTTCCATCTGAGGAGTAGCACTATCTTGAAAATAGATACCTCATGGGCTTGGAGCATCAAAATTCATAATTAAATTATTAAATAATAATCCCATAAAAAAGAAATAGAATATTCTATATTGAATATTAAACCATAATAATAAATATATTATATCTTTTCATAAAATATAGAATTTAAATATAACATTAAACTGTATTGTATATTAAGGCTAGGCTAATTCTTATCCACTAACGAAGTCGAAGTATAACGAAGTATACCCTGTGCCTAATGGGTTTTTATAGCCTGCTGTTCAGAAGGTTAGGCTACGGCTAGCGTCCGGGGTTTTTTCAAAAAATGAATTACCTTCGCTCAGCTTCGCACACTTCGCTCACTTCGCTCACCTTCGCTCAGCTTCGCTCAGCTTCCCTCCCAAAAAGTACCACCCTCCTCCACTCGCGTAGGGGCCCCTCCTTTGCTCAAGGTCCCCCATCACATTTAATTATGCCCCCCCCTGCAGTATTGCAGGGCGGGGGAAAGATGGGGCCGCAAAGGGGGGGGTTGAGTGGAGGAGGGTGGTCGCGATATTATGGCTAGCTAAATTATTAAGGCTGCTTCCTGCCTGCCTAGACTTCGTAGGCAGGAAGTAGGAGGGGCCACGAATAAGTATTCGTGGGGTCCCTCGAAGCTAGCTAGCTAGCTAAGCAGGAAGAGCAGCCATATTTTTTATTTAAGCAGCCATACATCATTTTATTCCTAATCTCTATCATTACTATGCAACATAAAGAAGTAAAAAAGCCATCATCAAAGCAAATAATCCTGTCGCTTCCGAGAAAGCAAAACCTAAAATTGCATATGCAAATAATTGACTTTTTAACGAAGGGTTTCTTGAAACCCCTATTATTAATGAGCCAAATACAACTCCAATACCTATACCAGCTCCGATTAAACCTGTGGTAGCTAGCCCTGTTCCTATTATTTTAGCTACTTGTATCATTATATATACAATGGTGGAATCAAAATTAACTAGAATCTAGTAACCTCTTCAATTCCACCACCGCAAAGCAGCAAATACCACTGAGGCTCCCGACAACAGTGTATTTACTGCTGTTGCAGTATATCTAATGATAATCAAGTAGCCATTAGGCTATCCCTAATGGCTACAGTAATCATACGATAGCTAGCCAGTATATAACTGGCTAGCTATCGTAATCTTTAGTACATTACATATAAAGATTACATTACAATACATTACATTACATTACATGTAATGTAACATTACATTACAGTTACATTACTGTACATTATATTACATTACAGTTACATTATATTAAGTTACATTACAGTTACATTACAAAATATTACATTACAGTTACATAACATTAAGTTACATTAAGTTACATTACATTACATTAAGTTAAGTTACATTAAGTTACATTTTATATTATCTACCAGATGATTACATTTGCAGTACATAGTGGATATAACATTACATTACATTACATTACATCATTACATAGCATAATGTATCATCCATCATTCCCCTTACGTGATACGTACCAAATTAAATCACACATTAACATTATTAATGTTACAAGGTGAAATAAATATTCATATTTATTTCATATTATTAAAGATAATCATTAAGTACGATTAGGATTAATCCTAATCCTAATCCGCACAGCTTAGCTCCGCTCAGACTAATATAATTAAATTAGTCGTCTATATATGCTATTAAAAATTTGGTTATCGGTTATTTTTTTTAGCTAAAGCTAGCATTTTTTTTCGCCTCTGGCCACCTCTTTAATTTTTTTAGCTTCCCCCCTGCAGTACTGCAGGGCGGGGGGACGGCTAAAAAAAAATAAGCGCAAGCTATCCAGAGGCACGCCCCCTTCCGAGGCACGCCACCATGGTGGTGGGGAACTCAGGATTCGAACCTTCCTACCCCTTAGCACTTTTATAGTTTGGGCGTGGCTCCCAAACTACATCCTAGGAGAAGTTAAACCTATAGGGGCCCACGAATAAGTATTCGTGGGGTCCCCCGATTCGAGGCCAAGGCCTTGAATCAACCCGTTCCCCCCCCCCCCTCCTCCACTCGCGTACCCCCTCCTTGCTCAAGGTCCCCATCACATTTAATTATGCCCCCCTGCAGTACTGCAGGGCGGGGGAAAGATGGGGGCCGCAAAGGAGGGGGTNGNGTGAGNGGAGNGGGGGGGTCGATTCTGCATTTGCTACAACTATTTGATAAAATAGCATAAGTTCCTTCTCCGTCCACTTTTTTCAGATGCGAACAGATTCCGTATCTCTGTTCATTTTAACTACCGAACCCGTTTGCGAGTGGGCATTCCTTTCTCGCAACCCCCCCCTTCGGGGGGGGGAATTTGCTATAAGAGACCTCGAATAGAGTAATCTTATCAAGTTACAAGAGACATTTAACTATTTGATTGCATATGTTACTTTAACTGGATATTGGGGACCTTGAGTATCCTTCGGATACGTAAGAGGAGGGTGGACCGCTTTCGGGTGTCACCTAAAGCAGCGTAATTTTTGTTAAAGGACTGCACAGGACTGTTCTAATGTAGATCCAATGCGTCTTTAATGTATCCGCTAGTTAAAACTACAAAAACTTGAGCTTGGATGAAGGCAATTCCTAACTCTAATCCTGAGAAAGCTATAATAAAAGCTAAAGGTATTAAACCTAAAAAGAAGAAGATAATTCCGCTTGTCATTATATTGTAAGTAAATCCTGCTAAAATATGTAACAACATATGACCTGATAATCGTTCAACAAATTCATCCTCAGATTATATTATTTCTTAACATAAGTAAAGTCCTCAGCGTATACTACAGTATTCTAGTCTACTAATTTGAATAAATATTTTCCTTTAAAAGGTTTAATTCTATTTTCTTTTAAGTATAAAGATATACTGGGTTGCTTCGGATTCTATATTAACCATCCACTTATTCTCATGTTAGATAACTTAAACTAATTTAAAAAGATAAATACCTCTAAACGGAGTAGTACGTTTTCTACTTAAATAAACAGAAATACTTGACTGTGGAATACCCAGAGCTTCACCTGCTGAACTAATCGAAGAATAATTAATAACTTCATTTGTCTGAATATTAGTAACTTCTATAGTTTTACAGTTTTGTTTAACTGAGTCTGAGTCTATTTTAGAGATAATGTACCCTTTAATGGTACTAACTTGCCCATTAGACGGCGCAGCCGACTTGTTATCATTTAAATAGTTTAAAAGTCGTCTAGGAGATATACCCAAAAATTGATATGCGGCTTTCATCGTAGGGAATTGTTTAGTAATCCCTGTAACACTGTTAGTTAATTCTACAGCTTGTTTTGAATTAGTTAGACTAGAGGCAGAAGAGGAATCCACTCGGAGAGTGGATGTAGCTTTAGTAATCATATAACCTTTGTATGGCTTGTTATTAACTAAATACCTTTTCACAGTAGTCATATGAACACCTAAAAACAGAGCAGCCTGTATCAAAGAAGTAAATTCTTTATTCTCTCTTGTTTCGATATTAGAAAGAATAATCGGCACTCTAAAGGGATTATTTTTAGCCATTTTTTCTAAATGATCTTCAGATAATTTTCGATCTAACATAATTTCTCTTTTAAACTTAAGGACTTCTTCGGATTCATTTCTACTTTTGGAAGCATCACTCATAAGTTTAAGAGAGGCTTCGCTATGTTTGTATCCCAAATTAGACCCAGCTATTTTTAATATATTGTATTCAGGATTTAATTTATCTATGTAGAATTGCTCTCTATCCAGTACTATTGAAATAGGACAATATTCTAAAATCTCTAATCTAAACCCTGTATAACCATATTTTAAAAGTGCCTTACAAATAAGAGATGCACCTCTCTTACTGCTTGACAAATAGCTATGATTAAAGTAGCGTCTAAATCTATCATTTAGCAAAGTAGAAGAACCTACATAACTTTTTCCTGAACCCTTGTGAACTCAACGATAAACACCAGATTTACCTTTATTTTGTTTAGCGATCAATCCTTTATGTTCATCAGGATTAGTATAAATTACAACAGGTTCAAGTTCAGATGAAGAAGTAGACATAGTTCTTATGTTTAAGAGCGAACCACCCCCTTTAAAGTGTGTATTACTTAAATTGGTTGATCTAATGCCAATTCGTTTTTGACAGTGAATTCAATGAAACCTTTTCGGAGTATAAATAGATGTTTTTAAACTTAATTTCTCTTCCATATCTCCCCCCCCCGCAAGCCTGCCCCCCCTGCAGTACTGCAGGGTCCCCACCCTGCAGTACTGCAGGGGGGGTGGGGAAGGGGAGGGGCTTTTAATTAAACTTTGAGGTATTAGCAGCAGCGGTAATAGAAGAGTATACTGTAACCTCTTTAGTGTCGACGTTAGTAACCTCCACTTTCATTAAAGGTATATATAAACTTTGTCCCCTTATTAAAAGGTGTTTATATACTTTATCCTTTCTTTAAAGTGTTACAGCATAAACTTTACGTTACATAAATCGCCAAAATATTATAAAATGAGGATAGGCTATTGTGATATCTTTAATCTTAGGTTACTTAGTTTCTCCTAAGAACCGGCTTTCCCGGCGACTAGAGTATACCTTACCATTAGGGCTGCGGACTTCGTAGTGCTTCGCTACTAATGGAAGAACCGTCTACTCGTTGCTCTTTTACAGATTATTATCTGATTTAGATCCGCGATTACCTATTTCCACTCTTACGAGTGGAATCTTCTGGCTTATTACCATACATGAGTGATTAGTTCATCCACTAATAACCTTTCAATTATAGCTTGGTACCAGAAGCTTTAAGGGGTCCCCGGAGTTTGGTTCTTAAACACAATTAGATTGAGGTACCTAATCTCATCTTTTTATGTTAGCTGCTAATCTTAATCCTAAAGATATATTTCTTGCTAAATAAGAAATGAATTCAATTAAAACTAACAGAGGAAGTAGGGCTAAAGGACAACCTGCTGGAACTAATAGAGAGAAAAATTCTAATCCATGTTTTTGGAAACCTAAAATAGTTGCTCCTAAAACTATAGTGAAACTAAGAGCAAATGTCACTACAAAATGGCTTGTACTTGCGAAACTATAAGGACAGCAGAGTAAGTCTTATAGACTTACCGTGGTGGACTATATCTTAATTACTTAATTGTTATTGTAAAACAGTGTTAAGTAATTTTTTCACTTGTAGTCTCTGAGGATCTTACTCATAACATGGCTTGTTATTTTTATTTCCTGCTGATTATTCATTGTTTCATCCTTTAAGATTTTTACCATTATTTGGTACCTAAAGGCATTAGAAGTTTCCAGCACATAGTGAAATTTATTGTATTTTATTGTTATTTATTTTTGATATTACCAATTATCTAAACTTTTATCTATTCTTCTTTTATTATTCTTTTGTTCTCTATTCATATTACTTTGAATTAGCTTTATTGTATCTAATCCTTCATCAGTTAAATGAGTTTTAGATTCTATTAGTTTGGCTATCTTTACAAAATCTAAGAAATCTTCCTGTTTAACTCCCAATAATGGGTACTCTTTTAAGAAAGGTATTAGCTTATTATTTATATCTGAAAATATTGTTATTAAGTATTGACCTTCATTACGTGTTGGTGATTTGTAATATCTACCCATATTTAGATAAATAGCTATATCCTTCAATAACTCTTCATCTTTAATATGCTGAGTTAGTGAAAATCTTAACCAAACATTTCGCCACCCCCCCCTTCGGGGGGGGGAATTTTGAGTTATAACTTGGAAACATCCTTCACCTTCTATAAATCCTCTAATTCAGTTTAAGCTTTTAACCTTAACATCTGAAGTATTGTATATTACTGAAGGTCTCACTGCTGCTTTTACAGTAGGGAAACTTTCTTTAAATTTGTCAGATAGACCTCAATTTAATGTAGCTTTTATTCCTACTAATTTTAATAAACCTTCTAAAGATAAATGTTCTTTATTTTTTATTAAAGCTATAGCTTGTTTAAATAGTAGATAATCTGCTCTCTTTTGTGTTATTAAAGGATAACTATCAAAATGATCTGTGATTATTTGTAAATTTTTTAAAGAACTTACACGATATTGTATAGAATCAATACCATGTTTATAAATCTTTCCTACTTTAAAGGTTCTTTGAATAGCTTCTAATAGTGAAATATCCTTCTTATGAAGAGATATACTAAATATAGGTTTAACTTGTCAACCATTTAAGCGTCTATCATCTTTAAACAGTGAAAGAGAGAAACAGCCTTCCCCATCCACAAATCCTGTAATATAATCAGGGTTAAGATAGAAGGTATTTTTATTGTTAAAGCTATACCTAGGGCTATCCTTAGATATGTTCATTTGTGTATTTACTTGAGAGTTTGAATTAAGAGAAGAATATGATAGTCTTTGAAATATTGGTTTATGTATACCTAATATTCCAAATATGCTTGAAATAAATAATGATAAAATACAAAGGCTCCTGTTAACCATTCCTATAAGATTGTTTATTAAAATAAAAATAAATAAAGTATAAATAAATGGAAAGTATATTTGACCATTTCTAGGATTTATTTGACTTGTTACTATACTATGAATAGTAGCATATAAAGATTCTTGACTTATAGATCAACTATTGCTAACTAATCTATTATAATTTATACTTAAAAGATTTATAACCAAGAAAAAGAAAGCTCCTATTGTTAAATAAAAACCAATATTAGTTATAGAAATGTGTAAATTTCCTAAAGCATCTATACTTAATAAATCTCTTATTTCAAATTGATTTAATGGGCTAAGGACTTGCGTCGACATATTATTAAAGCTTAAAGTACTCATAAAGAATGTACTTTAAGCTTGAATCATAGGACCTTTAAATATCCATGGATATTTAATATTAAATATTAAATATTAAATATTAAATATTTAATAGCCTTACTTAACACATATTACCCACCCTCCTCTTCAAGGTCCCCCTCCTTGACCCCCCCCCCCTCCTTTTCTACCCCCCTCCCGTCNTACGACTACTGCACGGCCGGGGACCCCCCCGNTACCCCGGTACCNCGTNACCGGTACCCGGTACCGGTACCGTACCGGGGGTACCGGGGTACCGGGTAACCGGTACCGTTAAGTGCTAATTCTGTTACTTTGTTCCCCTCCTTTGCATTANTTTTTTTAGCTTGGCTTTTTAGCCGTCCCCCGNCCCTGCAGTACTGCANGGGGGGAAGCTAAAAATTAAGCAAGGAGGGGTAGCGAAGTATCGAATCGAAGGAGCTCCTTCTATTATTTTCTCTGCTTAAAAATTATTTTTTTTGATATATCAGAAAGTTTTTGATATAAAAAGTACGAGATAAGAATAAACGAACAAATCTAGGTAAAATATATTTAGATAAAATATAAACCATAAGAGTTATTATTACAAAAGTAAAAGTTATTTCATTAACAAAATAAAATGGAACTAATTGAGGCATTTTTTTACTAATTAATTATAATATTGTAATACTACCAAGCATTGACGTTAATTTAATAACGAAAGGTTATAATGAATTCTTAGCCTCGGCTCCCCTCGCTGCTTCACTACTAGGGCCCACGAATAAGTATTCGTGGGGGTCCCGGGTGGATTTCCTAATCTTATAANCACCTTTTTAAACGNANNCNTTAATATTATCCTTTTTTTCTTCCTCCTCCTCCCGAAGGAGTCCTGCTTGCCTTCGGAGGAGGAAGCATAATGTTGAAGTAAATTTTCTATTAGATGTAGCTGCTATATCTCTAATAAATTTATAAAAATGATCATTATGACTTAGAGCCGCGAGGCGTCTGAAAAGTAGAGCCGCAATAATGCGGCGAGTTAGGCAAAGCCTAACGGACAGAGTAGTAATTTTGTGTTGAAGTTTTAATACTAGGATCTTTTACATTAGAATCGCCCCTCCGCAAACCTGCCCCCCCCCTGCAGTACTGCAGGGTCCCCACCCTGCAGTACTGCAGGGGGTGGGGAAGGGGAGGGGGAAGGGAGGGGGGAATTCATAGTTTGGGCTTAGTTTTAGCTTACTGAGGCTTCGCCTTAAGCAAGCAAGCTCGCCTCGAATATTGTTTATAATATAACCCACCACCACTCCCGGATCTTATCACGAAATAGTTAATTCCATAAACGATCCTCCTATAATGACAAGAGTACTTAGACTCGAACTAAGAATTTAAAGGTTGAAGCTTTCTGTTTTACCATTAAACTATACTCTTGGATGATGACCCGTCAGGAGAGTAGAGAAGGGACTCCTAGAAGATGACCCACTCTTCTGAGAATCATCCGGATTAATAATCCGCTTCAGGAATGTAACCACCCCTGAAGACCCGTCCTACTTTTTCGGGTAGGACTTAATTGAGACAACCACATACAAATGTGAAAATGTATATGTTTAATATATACTTATAACTTATTTTTATAGGGTCTTTAATAACTGCATACAGAGCTTGCGAGGGGCTTTCCTACTATACTTAGATTTAGCGAAGGCTATATAAATAAATTTATAAAAAACCCCCTACTAGAACCCATTATAAATATTCATGAAGCCCGCGAAGGCTTCTAAAAAATCGGAAAATATGATATTAAAGTCATCTAGATGACTATTTGCAACTCCGTCTGTGAGATCAGAGATCTCCCTTAGATTCCGACGAATACCACCTATACTTTCAGCAATCTCATTAACTCTAGCTAAATCCCCCGGAGCGAGATTACCCCCCCTGTCCTTCTATTAGCGTCGTAGTTCTGTCTACAAAGTCAGTAGCAGTCGACACAGTATCATTAAAGGTGTCCATACTTCTGGCTAATTCTCTATTGAGGGGCTGGCCGTCGACACTAATAGTCCCATCAACTATACTACCTCTACGATGTATCTCTATTAATACAACTACCAAAGCAGCTGTCGCCACTAAGCTATTACTGAAAATTACAACAATATAAGGTAAAATCGCGGCGATCTCCTCTGGACTAAAATTGCTATATAGATTCATCAATTCAGCGAATAGGTCATTATTGTAGGTATTACACTCTACAACTGTTTTTAAATTTTCCAGAATTCCCCCCCCCGAAGGGGGGGGTAGCGATTTCATAGGATAATAATTAATAAAAAAAAATGCAAGAAATAACAAAAAAAAATATAAAGAATAAAGATCATTAAACCAAACTTCTTCTACACCTTATTATTATTATTATTAAAACTCTTTATAATATATTAATATATTTAATATTAGTAATTTTATAGACTAGGACTCCTCCTCCTGCCTCCTGCCTTCGGCAGGAGGAGGAGGAGTCCTGGGATAAAGGTATACCCAAAAAATATAAAAACCTTGCTTACTTTATTACTTGCCATATAAACAGATTAAAATGAGAATAACGGAGGCAATATACCTTAAAAAAATATATAAAATTTTATTAATTTCCTAATTATTATATAACTGGAGCGGCAATTTAATGACAATTTAATGACTAAGGTTATAAAATAATTAATAATATAACTTTTCCCCCCCCCGCCCTGCAGTACTGCAGGGGGGAGGGAAGTTATATTATTAATTGCATTCATGAATGCTTCCAGTTGCCACTAGAAAGTCATTACCTTATTGCTATCGAATTAGCCAAGGCAAAATTTACAGCCGTAACTGTAAATTAAACTAGATACATTGTAATGAAGACCATCTAATATAATAGATGGATAAATACCTAAGAATACTACTAATATTCCTAAAAAAATTAGTGCATAGAATTCTCTTTTAGTTAAATCGATAATACTGTTTTCGAAGAATTTAGAAAAGCTCCCTCCAAAAGCTACCCTGTTAAATAAGAAAATACTATACGCAGCGGAAAATACAATTGAAGAACTAGCCAGCAGACCTAATAGGGGTAATCTTTCAAATACTCCATATAATGACATAAATTCACCTACAAAATTTAATGTAAGGGGTACTCCACAATTAGCCAAGGAGAAGATAAAGAAAAGCAGAGAAAGTAAAGGTGCCATTTGAGCAATTCCTTTGTAATAATGAATTAAGCGAGTTCCGGAACGATCATATAACACACCTCCTACAATAAAGAATAAAGCGGGGCTTGTAAAGCCATGTGCTAAACCTAAGAGTATACCACCTTCAATTCCTTGGATTGTATTACTAAATACTCCTATTAGATATACTGCAGCATGAGACACTGAACTGTATGCAATCAATTCTTTGATATCTGTAGTTCTTAATGTACTAAAACTAGCATATATTATAGTAATTACACCTATGACAAATATTATATAAGTATAATTTAAGGAAGCTTTAGGCAATAAAGGTAAAATTAATCTAAATATTCCATATAAACTTAATTTTAAAACGATACCTGCTAGTACTATACTACCACCTAAAGGTGATTCTACGTGAGCTTTCAATAACCAATTATTTAAAAAAATAGTTGGAGTTTTAACAGCAAAAGCTATAAATATACCACAGAATAAAAATATTTGAATAGTATAATCAAAGTTACTTTTTAATAATGCGTCAAAATAAGTTGTTCCCATTATTGAAGACATAGTTAAAATAGACAGTAATAAAAATAAGGATCCCAATACGTTCACATAATAAATGTGTTATCTTTAATTTAGGGTTACTTTAATTCATACCGGCTAACCGGCAGCCTATTATATTATATAATTACTAGCTATCATTAGCTAATTTGCACGGTTTCGATTCATATTTGATTTGATAGATTGGATTTCAATTAGACCTTCTTCAGTTAAATGAGATTTATTCGAGGGGTTCCCCCTTGAATAAATCAAGGGGGTATTCCCCCCCCTCGATTTATTCTTCATTAAAAGAACTACTTTTTTAAAATCTGAATAATCTAAAGCTCTTACACCTTTAATAGGATGATTGTCAAAAAGTGGGATGAATTTTTTCAGAATATCTTCGTATTTAGTTAACAACATAATATGCAGCAGATTGCTTTAAACATAACTCTACTCCACCCCCTTCAGGGGGTGGATACTAACGTTTGGATTAATTCGACATCTCTACTATTTTGAACAATTTGAAATTTTAATACCACAGATTTTCCTGATTTAGTATAAGAAGAATTACGGATAGAGATAAAAAAACACCCATCACCACCAGTTAAACCTGCTATATAATTAAAGTTTTTAATCTTTTTTTTTTTTCTCGCTGAGCACAGGTAAAGGTCTAGCTACTGGTGTAATATTAGGAAAAACTAATTGCAATTCATCTGATAAACCTAAATTAATAGAAGCTTTTAAAGAAAGAATCGACCCCCCCTCCGGGGGGGGGGGGGGGGTTGATTCAAGGCCCCACGGGCCCTCGAATCTTTTTAAATCCTTCTTTAGTTATATGTTCTTTATTTTTAATTAATGCAACTGCTTCTTTAAAAAGTTTATAATCAGATCATTTTTGACTAATCAATGGATATGCATCAAAATGAGATATAATGACATCTAAATCTTTTATTGACCTAACCAGATATTGTAATGTAGTTTCCCCATGTTTAATAATTATACCTACACCAAAATAATTTCGGGGGTCCCCGCCCCCTTCGGGGGCGGGGGCCCAATTTGACATAGTAAATCATAATCTTTGCTATGTAAACTAATTTTAAATATCGCTGTTACTTGATAACCCATTCTATATTTTTCACTTTTTGTTAACCCTATCATAAAACACCCCTCAGCATCTATAAATCCTGTTACAAATCAAGGATCCACTCTTTGAGTGGACTTCTGGGAGTGTATGAATCTATTATGCGTAATTATAATATAATCTCCTGGCACCTTCACTCGATTTGAAGGTGGCGGACCCCTAGGACAATAATGAATTTTCTCCCTAAAACTGGTTTCCCAGCGACTAGAGTACACCTTATGAGCTCCATTCTTCGCAAACCCCCCCTACTTGTAGGGGGGAGTGGAACTCAAAGAACCGTCTACTCGTTGCTCTTTTTACACCCTTAGCAGCTGCTTTTTTACATTGAGCTTTAAAAGGATGATTTAGAACCGCGATCACCCATATATCTACTACTAAAAGTAGCTTTTCATGTATGAAAACTAGTGATTTTACCATACCCTGAGGCATTAATCAGGCCAGTTGTAAAGTTTCCTTAACAACCTTGGTTACTAGAGCTTTAGGGCTTACCCGGTGTTTGGCTCTTTTACACTTAAGGATAAATGTATATAAAAAAATATAAAAACTAGCTCTTACTTTATTACTTGATCCAAATAAACCGATTAATATAAATAATGGAGGCAATATACTTTCAAAAAATATATAAAATAATAGTATATCTAAGACTAAAAAGACTGCTAATAACAAAGTTTCCAATAATAACATTATGATTAAGTATGATTTTAGATTGTTTGTTATCGAATTTCAATTCGACATTAAAGCTATGGGTATTATTATTGTAGTTAATAAAACAAAATATATTGAAATACCATCCACACCTAAATATATATCATAAAAACTCAAATCATAGTGTTCTTGTATAAATTGAAATTGGTTATTACTAAAATCAAATAGTATATATACTAATAATGATACCATTAAATTCAATATAGAAATTATAAATGCAACTACTTTAGGGGCAGTTTCGTTTTGTATAGATATACCATGATCTGTCGATACCCTTTGTAATATATATTCATCTTTAAAGATACCATCATTTGCTTCATCTCGTCTAACCACTTTTTCTAAAAGGAAAAGGAGGCATAAAAAAAAATAATGGTTGGCTTGTTTTATAATAAAACTGTGTAGATCATATAATAAATATTCCTATAATAGGGATTATTAATAAAGCAAAAAAAACATCCGAAGGTGTTTTTAATTTACAAATAGCACAGGGAAAGACTACACCATTAACTATGAATTAACNGNGTGAAACTAATATTTTATTTCAATAATATCTATGCTGGCAGGTATTATTGTTATTATTGTTATTAATTTCCGTCCGTCTATGTGTTAGAGGTCAGGAGGTCTGAACTGTCTTAAGAAATCCTTAACTGTGTGAGAATTACTATTTACTTCCCTAAATATTGAGCCTATCTCTGTACCTATACCCTCCGTTAGTCAAGAAGGAAGTTCAGAAAAAATTGTTAATAGCACTCTAAAATCGTTCCTTACTAAATCATTATTTGAACTCAAATTTCCAAGTAATTCAAAGACTGAAGAAAGTATTCCGTAATCTGAAATTATTCCGGCAGCTCCGGAAAACGGCACTAAAATTGCTGAAATAATAGATACCCCCAACCCTAACCAAAAAATCATTTCTAACCCAAACGAAACTCCGTTTATACCGATTGACTCCAAAACTTCATTAGGAATCCCACTGTTTAAGTACGATACGAGATCGGATAAGTTATTCAGAGTTGCCTCCTGAAACAATTCTCTCCTCAATACATTTAGGGTATTTCCCGGAGTATAATTAGGGTTAAAAATTGATACATAGTCTATATGATCTAGAAGGGGATTCCGATTTGTTAGTCCTGCTGCATTAACATACCCTCCTAGTAATCAGTGTAGGGATTCAAAAAATCTACGAATTAGGCCTGAAAAATAGGATAATATAGGTATAAGTACAGCCAAAGCCTGCTGGCCTCTAACAGTAGATCAAAGATCCCGGTTAAGAGATTCATCTAGGAGAATTTGGATTAATTCAGCTAGTATATGGCGGAATATAGCCATTTCCCGAGCACATCTATTTAAGAATCTTCTAAAAAGAGTTATTTGTAAGTTAAAAAACAGCATAAAAAAATTATTATTTTATTATTACGAATAGCACACGAAAAGACTACACCATTAACTATGAATTAACCGGGTGGAACTATTATTTGCGCATAATATCTATGCGTGTCTTGTATTACCTTGTGGTAATATTATTTTGTTATTTTTGATTAAGAACGCCATTACCCTTCATGATTAAAAAAGGTTTAAATTTCATGGCAAAATAGTAAAAACTTTCTAAAATACAAGGCACTAAGATTATTAACGCAAAGATTATAGGTAATAAAACTGTTCAACAAAAACCCATTAATTGATCATAACGTATTCTAGGGAAAGATGCTCTCCCTAATATAAAAATAAATATCATTATAGAGCTTTTTAATCCTATAATTCATCCATATAGCCATCCTTCCACCCAACGGGTGGATTTATAATTGTTAAAGAAATCTTCTGTATAAGATCTTTCAGAAACCATTCAATTAATTTCAAATATAAATAAATTGGAATATACAAAATCAAGAATATTAAAGACATCTTTAAGATTTATAAATAAATAACCTCCTAGAAACAAAATACTTGTAAGTATACACATTAAAACTATACTACCATACTCCGCTAAGAAAAAGAATACAAAGACTACTGCTGCATGTTCTGTCATAAAACCACTAACTAATTCTGATTCCATGTATTTGGGATCACGGCTGTATTATTTGTTTATTTAGTTATAGGTTTAATATAATAAGAATTATTATATATAAGCTTGGGCCCCCCCCGGCCCCTTCGGGGCCGGGGGTCCCCCGAATTTTAATATTTACCTACTGTAACCTTAGAAATATTTAAATGTTTGGCTAATTCTACATTATTTTTAAATTTTGTAGTATTAAATTACCCTCTAAATCAAATATTCCTACACCTAATGTGTATTTATTTTTCATTTCTACTCATCTTAGCCTTGGTATCCTCGCTATGTGTTTTCCCATACATGGGATTTAAATTCCCTGGTTTACTGATCTTTAATTTAGATTCATCCGTATGTTTATAACCCAAATTATTATGAGCAATGGGCCCCCCGGCCCCTTCGGGGCCGGGGGTCCCCCGAACTAAAATTATATAGAGTATCGAAATCAAATTTAGAAATATAACTAGTTTCGCTACCCCCTCCTCGAAAGACCCCACAACATAGTTGTGGGGGCCCCCGAGGAGGGGGGAGTTCAGTTAATGATTTATGGCTTATGATTTTACTTTCATAAGTAAAATACTCATAAATATATAATTTAAACTTATCTAAACCATACTTAACGAAGGCTTTTTGTAAGGCTACATTTGAATTATTTTTATACTTCAAATGTTCATTAATTCTTATAAAAAAGTCTTTAGCACTACCAATGTATTGTTTACCGTTAACAGTGTTTACCAAAGAATAAATACCACCTTTACCCTTTAATATACCTTCATATGATTTTATACAATCTTTGTCATTTAAATCTTCCCGAGGGGACCCCTGTCCCTGAGGGTCCAGGGGAAGAATTAAAATCGGCTGAGGAGCAGGATCAGAGCCAGAATGTTGTGAATGGGAATTTGTAGTAGAATAATATCTACGACTATTAATTAAAGAGTAATCTCTAATTCTTAAAGGCAAAATACACCTACGTCTATAACTAAATAAATGTTCAAATTCAATTAACACGGATTCCAAATAAAAAAAATGAAAACCCCTCCACCTGTTGAGGGGTGGTGGGGATACAACCATATCGGGGGACCCCACAACATAGTTGTGGGGGCCCAATCTTGTATAGGTTTAAACCGATAAGTTTTATTATATACAAGACCCGAATTTAAATACTTACCTACTGTAACCTTAGAAATACCTAAATATTTAGCTAGCTCTACATTATTACTAAACTTTAAAATTAAATTGTCCTCTAAATCATAATACCTACACCTAAAGGATATTTATTCTTTTTTTCACTCATAGAGGCCTTAGTGGCTTCACTATGTTTTTTACCAAACATAGGATTTAATTCACCTGGTTTACTAATTAAACCTAGTGCTTCTTCAGTATGAGTTTTACCAAACATCCCCACACACCACGGTGTGTGGGCCGTATGATTATTTTTATCCTTATAATAATCAACCATCTTTAATCTTGCTTCTTCTGTATGTTTATAACCTAAAGAGCTTGTAGCTATAGCTTTTAAATTGTAAAGATTATCAAAATTAAATCTGTTAATATAACTAGTCTCTAGATCAGTTAAAGCTTTATTGACTTTACTGNNTTTTTATTAATTATATTAATAATGAGAATATTATTATTAAAAATTAGAATATACTAGACGCGACACTAGACACGACACTAGACACCGAACTAGTGTCATTAAAAATTTCTCCCATTACGACGTCCCTGTAATAATTACGGTAGGCAAACCGTTCCGAATGGACCACTCCCCTTCTTAAGTCCCCAATATACTCTTGAATTGAGGCTCACCTTGAACAACCATTGGAGAGAGGTTGTTCTTGGTCTAATTTTGGTACAACGATAGCTAAAAGGGTCTCTTCTTGTTTAAGATCAAGAGCCCTTTTAGTATGAAATTTACTAGCAGCACTAGTATTTGTTACAGCAGATAATAATCCTAATAATCCAACATTAGCTTTCAAAATAGTATTATTACTATTATTATTATAAGTTGTATTATATAGATTTAATACAACTTTTTTTAATCAATTAAATAGTTTAAAACCTATACAAGCAGAGACCCCGGATACTACTATTAATAATAGTTCAATATTAAATCTATTTAATTCTTCTAAATTAATATAAGTATAATCTAATATAGGATTTGTTATTATTTTAAAATAAAAATAAGAAAAGATAGATCTGCATAATAAATTAATAATAACATGAGGATAATATAAAATAATAAAAAAACCTAAGGTAATAACGGAAGAGTTCATATTTATATCTGATTTCATTTTTTTTATCATTTTGTATTTACATACAAATTTGGACTATATCTTATCTAATAGAGCCGCAAGGCGTCTATTAAATGATCACGTCTAGTCTCTGAAGGTTATAACCTAACACTTAGATTATATTCCCTGCTGATTTTCATAAATAACCTATGTAAAATAAAACCTATACAAAGGTATAATAAGACTTCCCAGCAATTTGTGATCTTTAACGAGACCAAATCAGATTAGTTTTTTAAAAAATAAATTTATCCCTAAAATTATTTAATATTATGTGTAAAGCATGGTTTATTAGAGTCTATATTTTCTAAATAAACACGGGGAGGGCTAGCGAAGCTAAAGCTCCCCCCAGACACTAATTATCTCACGTTAATTAGGGCCTAATATATAAGTAAAATCTTTACATCATAACAAACAAGATTAGGAGATAGTAATACAACTAAATACAAAATTAAATACTTAATTATAAATATTTATTCATTTTATCTTTAATATTTAATAAATTTTCGATATCATTACTTTCTCATTGACGAGTATTTTTATTATTAATTATTTGAGCTGCTTCATAAAATGAAGAAAAATCGTATGATTTACTGCTTTTTAAAGGGTTTGCTAACAAAAAAGGAATAATCTGAGTATTAATTAATTCAAATTTTGTAACTTCAAAATCAACAGCGTCTAGGTCTTTCCCTCTTTGTTTAACAGAACCACAATTTAAATAAAGAGCAATCTTTTCTATTAAATCAAAATCTCTGTTATGCTGAGTTATTTGGAATAACAATCATACTTTAAAGTTAGTATTAGATTTTATCACGTTAATATA